ATAGTAAACTCTTAAATATTGGGGAAATTTGCAAGACTCTAATGAGTATTAATTTTTAAAAGATAATTAATTAGTCTTCTTCAGGACTGAAAGAGAAGAAATTATAATTAGCTATCAGATATTATCTATTAAAAAACACTGGTGATCTTAACGTAACTTAAAATTGTAGAGTTAGAATGTTAAAAAACTTAGCTAGTAACAACATAGTGGATTTTTTGTTACTATGTGAAAAATTGTTTTGAACAATCATAATTTCTTCTCTTTCAGCCTTAAAGAAGCCAAATTAATTCTCTTTGGCGAAAACGTTCGGCGAAACAATTGATACTCATTAGAGTCTTTCTTGCAGATTTCTTCAATATTTAAGAGTTTACTATTTAACTTACCTGCAAAGATTAAATTTCTTTTCTATATATATATATATATATATATATATATATATATATATATATATATATATATATATATAGAAGAGAGAAAGAGGGAGAAAAATATATGTGTGTGACTGTGTGTTTAAATTATTAACCAAACATAGATATAAAAAACGCTTTAATTGAAGTCCATATTCCTACATTTGGTGAGAATTGGGTATTATTCACATTTGATAAACAATTTTATAATAGCAATAATTTATTTGTAATTCGGTAATCCACTAATAAATGTGCGGTAATTCAATAAAACTAAAATATGAAACTATATAGAGCTATATTACATATTTATAGTACATTAATGGAATTGTCATGGCGATCGATAAACCCAAAAATATGAGTGACTAGAGTTTATTAAACGTAAAATCAATTACAACTTATATTTTTTTCTTTTTAATATTTTACTCATTTAAGGTCTTAATCCATATTTAAGTTATTTACTATTTCTTCTTCTTTCGCTATAAAGCTCAAAATCATTATATTAATTTTTGTTTTTGGACTGATTTTCTAATATTCTTTATCTTTTTTACGTGTTTAAAAATTATAACAGGCCAATTTAATTACTAGAGATTGTTCAAAACAGAAATAAAAAAGGATTAATGTACTTCGCTAAGGCTGCTGAGTTGTACCGTTGATTGAGCCTTATAATATTTCAACCAACGGTTGTACGTATTCAAAATTTATTTGGATGCGATTTAGGATAGTTGGAAAAGAAAATCAAATCGTAATGGTATTCCAATTTGGAATCGTGAGCCTTACTATTTACATTTTGCAGATGATGTGTTTGTCCTTGCACCTAGTCCTAATGCCTTTGTTTCGCGCACCGGTTATAGGTAGCTAGTTTTTCCCTTGGAACAAGTTTTGGTCTTAGAGAAATAGGTTGACTTTTATATACTTTTTTAAAGGATCACCCAGTAATCTGGAACAAATAAAAGTTTTTAAATAAATAAAGATTTAACAAAAGTCGTCCCAGGAGCGCAACTCAACAATATTGGCAATATCATTTTAAAGTCGTCTACTTTAAAATGCATAATGTATGTCTGAATTGTCAATATAAATGAGTCAGAGAAAATTAAATTATTAGAAGAATTTTTCACTATGTAACAAAAAACAAAATTTGTTTAATCTACTGTTTGTATTTTGAGAACGATTTCCGAAGTGGAAATTGAAACGTCAATAAACGTATTTTTATCTTTAATTGTGGCTAATTCCTAGTTAAATAGTAATTAAGCTGTAGCATACGGAGACGATGGAAAAATCTATCAATGTTCAATTGAAGTATCGAGTTGAATGTGGTTAACAGATTCGTAGTTAGATGATACTGAACAATTCTACAGAAGAGTCACTATCTAAGTCAGAAATCTCTTTCCCTAAATGGTTGTGTAGTTTCTTTTGAAGTTTTGTAAACTTGCTGTTTGTAGATCTATCACTTGCATATTGATAGCTGCTTTGTAAAAGATGGAGTAAACCAGCCATATCAGTTGTAAATTCTTTGAAGACGCTAATAGTGTCGGGGGAGCCTTGGACATTATCAATCAGTAAGGACAATTGGTAATAATTTAAAACGAATGGTGGAGTATGATTATCAATGAAATTTTCAAGAGTTTCCCGTGTAGATGGGATTTTAGATGAGCGCGCTTTTTTTGGTCTAGAGGGTTTGGGTTTTGCAAACCGATTTTCTGATAAAATTGCTGAGTCTGAAGGAGGCGTGACGATCTTACCAATTCTGCGTTTTATGGAAGAACTTGCGCTTTCGGAATTGCTATTAGAGTTTTCACTTAGATGCTGTGGCTTTATTACATTGGGAAGTACTGGAGCAAACTCATTGGTAGTGACAGAAGTTGAGCTTGAAGTTTTATTTGTAAGATTAATTGAAATGGTTGTTTAAAAAATTGTGCTGATGTATCAGTTTTATTAGAATTTTGCAGTTGTATCTAATGGAAAAGGAGCTGATAGATTGGAGGATATTGCTTCCGAAGTTTCTAAAAACGGTATTGCCGCTGAATTAGGTTGATTGAAAGACTTGCTATGAGTAGGAGTATTAGTAATTCCTTTGTTATGGAGATTTGTAGGTGTAGGTGATACGCTCGGATTTGATAATGAATATAACTTGATGACTGCTGGGTGTTTGGTTCCTTGTTAAGTATACTTGTTGAAGCTGTTTGATGTGGTACTTCATTGTTTGACTCAATATGAGTTGATTTCGTGACTGAACTGTTATTTTAATGGGATATGTGTTCTGTACTTTTGCAAATAAAGCAGGTGAGTGTACCTTGTGACAAAAATATGCGGTAAGGTGTTTGGTCGAAATTTATTAGAATAGAATCTGGAATTGGTGATGTTATAGGGCTTATATAAACTTGATTCCGAAATCTCAATATGTGACTATATTCGGGAAGAGTCGAGCTAATTTTCAGAAATGTTATTGGGGAATTAAACCGATATGATCTGTAATTTTTCAACTAATACTTCATAAGGAATTGACAGGCAGAGTCCAGACAAGACTAGTCTTTCTACTGGAGAGACGTGCTGTTACAACTTCGCCGAGTACTTCTACAGAGCCATGTTGTGCCATGAAGTTATCTACTTACTACGGTTTTGTTTGCCAAATACATGCAGATTCTATTATGAGATAATCTAGATGAAAAAATATTATTTTTTGGGTTGATGATTGTGCCCTAGGAATAATATAATCCTGCAGTTTAGCATTATCGATACAACTAAATAAAATGACTTGGGTCAAACTCGGAAAAGAATGTGAAGCGGCTGATGCATAACTGTTTGTGATATTCGAACGTTAATTTACTGGACTGGTTACTTATAGCAGCTAACCTCACAAAATGATTGTACGGTTGTGTATATTTATTATTTGACGTTTTCTTTTCACAATAATAAAATAATAATTACGTATAGATGACTTACGTAGTAGTATCTAGTAGATAAACACTTTAATTTTAAAAAACTATTTAATAAAACCACATGTTTGTATTAAAACCTAGGAGCAAAATATCAGTACAACTTAATCGTACCTTGCCAGGGCTGGTCTCCCATATGGTTTTATTGAAATTCGGGATTAATGAGATTTTAGTGTACTTTGCTTTACTATATAGAAAAAAATGTTTGTACTGACAAATAAATTAAAGTCTACATATACCATCATGTCCTTAACGAACAAGCAAGGATTTAAAAGTAATGTAAAATGTTAACAGTAAAGACTTAAAATGATGAACGGTCTGTACAAACAAATTAAGGTATGATGTAATAAACCGTACCATCTATGAAGGTGACGCCTATGGAATATGAGGGACAAAATAGCCATTTGAGACTTAAGTGCTTGGCGTGAATGTGCTTATGTGATACAAGAAGTCTTTGTTATCCGATATACAAACTTAGATACAGTACAGACGGAATTAGTTAAGTTAGTTTTTAAGAGTCGGTCGTAATATATCCTTCAATGAAGAAACACACATATTTATCCATGCAACAAACACAAAAACATAATTTCTTGTAACAAAAATAGTAAAAATCCATGAAAAAAAGTAAATAATATGTTATAATGAACATTAAAACCAAATACAACAGAATAATTTAAGAATAGTATTTGCTTTCAACTGTGTTTTTTAATTTAATGACGTTTCGATTTCCACTCCGGAAATCGTTCTTAAAAAGATTATTTAAGAATTGTGTTAAAAAGAATGTATAACTTGTTGAAGAAGTTTTTAACACAATCGTTAAATATTTTTTTTGAGATCATTTCCATGTGCCTCCAGTAAGTTGTCATTCCATGGTTTTCGTGGTCTTCCTACTGATCGTCTTCCTATTGGGAAACCGTCTTTTGCCGTTTTTACTACTCTATTTGTTGTCATTCGGTTTATATGATCGTTCCATTCTATTCTTTTATTTCTTACCCAGGTTTTGATGTTCTGCACCTCGCATCTATGTCTTATATCTGTACTTCTAGCTCTGTTCTATAGTGTCTTACCATCCATTTTTTCTACGAAAGTGTTTTCATCTCTGCTGTTTCTAACATTCTTTTTGTCCTCTCTGTCTCAGGTCTTGTTTCTGCTGCTTATGTCATTATTGGTCTGATGACTGTTTTGTAAATTCTGCCTTTCGTTTCTTTCCCGATATATCTTTATCTCTCCATATTGTTTTATTTAGGTAGCCTGCGGCTCTGTTTGCTCTAGTTACTTGATCTTTTTACTTCGGTTTCGAGCTTTCTGTAGCTAGATAATGTGATGCCTAGATATTTAAACTCCATCACTTGTTCTATTATCTGAACTTCCAGCTCCAATTTACGTCTTAGTAAATTTGCTGTTGCAACCATGCATTTTTTCTTTTTTGGGTAAATTGTCATGTTCTTCTGTAATTTTCCGGGTTTAATTTGTCTCCCTTTTTGAAGATTAGGATAAAGGTATTAGGATGCTTGATCTCCATTCTTAAGGAAATATTTAGTTAAAAATGTAACTTTCATAACAATTAATTGTGGCCTAGTTCCATACAAACATAACTTTTAACATGAAATGCCACAAGAAAAACAGTTTCAGAACCTTACTAAGCCATTTTTTGTTTCAGGTTCGAGATGGATATCGTCTTGACAAGCCAGAACATTGCAGGAGAGAACTATACAACATAATGTACTATTGCTGGGATAAAGATCCTAAGGAGAGACCGTCTTTTACAGAACTTTTAGAACTTTTAGAAAAATTATTAATGACAGAGACCGACTACATAGAACTAGAAAGGTTTCCGGATCATTCGTATTACAACATGATGAGTTTAAGTGGGGAAAAGTTATAAAACTATATTCCGTTCGAAAAAAAGACTGTTTTGATAATTTTGTATTGTGTATAAGCTGGTATATTTTTGTATATATAATCATTGTTGTAATTATGTATTTTTAAAATTTATGTAAATTAATAAAAATATTAAAATATGTTTACCTATATTCACCAATTATTTTAAATGGATAAACACCAATAGATCCTAAGATGCATATGTAGTTTACCTAGAACGAAATATTAATGAGGTGTGAGGTAAGGACTGTGGTAAGTTGCTTTTCAATGTTAAGAGAATAAGAAAATGAATAAGAAATAAGAATAAGAATAAGAAAAACACAATTCAGATTTCTGCTTTATAATCTGAGCCTTCTAAGAATTGCAAGGCAAACAGACGTTGATAAAAGATGTTAAAAGAGACATGGGGAATCTAAAATTTGCACTCCACGACATGTCTTTTACAACTAAGCAGAAATCCTTAGCGAATTGTGTTTCTCGTACTCCCACAGAGTATATCCGAATAAAATGAGAAAAGGCAGCAAATATTTGATTTCACGCAAACAAATCCTATGTATCTCTTGATACGTATTTCGACATAGTAGGTCTCGTCAGAAGAGCTATTCATAGGGGTTCTCAACGTGAAAAATCAATATTTTCTGCCTTTTAAGAAGCAACAATAACATGGCTTCGATACGGACGCAGTAGCGACATCTAATTAAACAATCGTAAAATAGTTTTCGAAACACAATTCAGATTTCTGCTTTATAATCTGAGCCTTCTAAGAATTGCAAGGCAAACAGACGTTGATAAAAGATGTTAAAAGAGACATGGGGAATCTAAAATTTGCATTCCACGACATATCTTTTACAACTAAGCAGAAATCCTTAGCGAATTGTGTTTCTTGTACTCCCACAGAGTAAATCCGAATAAAATGAGAAAAGGCAGCAAATATTTGATTTCACGCAAACAAATCCCATGTATCTCTTGATACGTATTTCGACCTAATAGGTCTCGTCAGAAGAGCTATTCATGAGGTTTCTCAACGTGAAAAATCAATATTTTCTGCCTTTTAAGAAGCAACAATAACATGGCTTCGATACGGACGCAGTAGCGACATCTAATTAAACAATCGTAAAATAGTTTTCGAAACACAATTCAGATTTCTGCTTTATAATCTGAGCCTTCTAAGAATTGCAGGGCAAACAGACGTTGATAAAAGATGTTAAAAGAGACATGGGGAATCTAAAATTTGCATTCCACGACATGTCTTTTACAACTAAGCAGAAATCCTTAGCGAATTGTGTTTCTTGTACTCCCACAGAGTAAATCCGAATAAAATGAGAAAAGGCAGCAAATATTTGATTTCACGCAAACAAATCCCATGTATCTCTTGATACGTATTTCGACCTAATAGGTCTCGTCAGAAGAGCTATTCATGAGGTTTCTCAACGTGAAAAATCAATATTTTCTGCCTTTTAAGAAGCAACAATAACATGGCTTCGATACGGACGCAGTAGCGACATCTAATTAAACAATCGTAAAATAGTTTTCGAAACACAATTCAGATTTCTGCTTTATAATCTGAGCCTTCTAAGAATTGCAAGGCAAACAGACGTTGATAAAAGATGTTAAAAGAGACACGGGGAATCTAAAATTTGCATTCCACGACATGTCTTTTACAACTAAGCAGAAATCCTTAGCGAATTGTGTTTCTTGTACTCCCACAGAGTAAATCCGAATAACATCTTTTATCAACGTCTGTTTGCCTTGCAATTCTTAGAAAGCTCAGATTATAAAGCAGAAATCTGAATTGTGTTTCGAAAACTATTTTACGATTGTTTAATTAGATGTCGCTACTGCGTCCGTATCGAAGCCATGTTATTGTTGCTTCTTAAAAAGCAGAAAATATTGATTTTTCACGTTGAGAAACCTCATGAATAGCTCTTCTGACGAGACCTATTAGGTCGAAATACGTATCAAGAGATACATGGGATTTGTTTGCGTGAAATCAAATATTTGCTGCCTTTTCTCATTTTATTCGGATTTACTCTGTGGGAGTACAAGAAACACAATTCGCTAAGGATTTCTGCTTAGTTGTAAAAGACATGTCGTGGAATGCAAATTTTAGATTCCCCATGTCTCTTTTAACATCTTTTATCAACGTCTGTTTGCCTTGCAATTCTTAGAAGGCTCAGATTATAAAGCAGAAATCTGAAACCTTCATAAAAAGTATATATTTAAAAACCCTAACGGGCTAATTAAACAAAACGTTTTCGGAATCCATAAACCATCATCAGTGTCTAGGAGTACATGAATGTAGCCACTAAATATATGGGTAAAAACCCGTTAACAAATAACTAGTTAAATTTGGTATACAATATTTCTTATAATATGTTAAGATGTTAAAGTTACCGTTGGATAAGGTAACATGGCGACATATGACTCCACGTTGAAGTTGCTAGTCCTGAGACGGTATGTCTACAAAGACTGTATGAAAGGAACTTACTCATATATTTAGTGGCTACATTCATGTACTCCTAGATACCGATGATGGAATGTGGATTCCAAAAACGTTTTGTTTAATTAGCCCGTTAGGGTTTTTAAATATATACCTTTTATAAAGGTTTTTTGATTAAAATTTTTTATAATAATAGTGGTTGTTTCGTTAAAAACACAATAAGAAAATTTGTTTTATTACAAAAAGTAGGAACACTATCCTACCGAAACCAACCAAGAAAATACCAGACCTTCAAATTCAAAGAATTGGAAAAGAAATCCAGTTAATTAGAGCTACTCTTAAGAAAAGTTTGGTGTTAGGTACGTGTTTTCTAGTCTTCTTTATGGCTTGGAAGCGTATGCAATAAAACATGTGCATATAAGTTGGTCGTCTTTGAATTTTGGTGCTACAGAAGAATCCTACGAATATCATGGATTCAAAAAAGGTCAGGCGTTGAAGTAACTAGAAGGATAGCAAATAAAGCAGAAATAATATTAATTATCAAAAGACGAAAACTTAGGACATATAATGAGGTTAAAGAATGCTTATTTTTATTATTATTACTATAACCTATTACGCAAGGCAAAATTAAAAAAAAACAATATTTGGGAAGACGAAGAATATCCTGAATTAAGAACTTAAGTAAATAGTTTGAATGCAGTAGTGTTGAAGTATTCAGAGCGGCAGTCAATAGGGTCCGCATATCAATGATGATTTCTAAACTTCTATAGAAAAAGGAACTTAAAGAATAAGAAGAATAATTCAAAAAAAATTATGGATCCAAAGAGTATCAAACGTAGAACTTACTAGAAAAATAGAAAATTAAACAAAAGTATTATTGACTTGAAACTTGAAGCAATAGTTTGAAGCATGTAGCGCAGAACTGTTTAGGGCGGCATCCAGCAAGATCCAACTAGCTTTGGTAATTTTTCAAACCAGACTGAACAAATAATTTAACGGCCAATTTAACATACGCCGCTTAAACCATAGATAAATAATATAGCATATAGAAAGCTTAAACAATATGGCCGCTATCGGCTGTCAAATTTCTAAAGTCTCTACCGATATTCAGTTACATATTTTAAAAGAAATAATTAATTTCTTATTTTATAATTTAATAAATTTGATTTCAATTAAAAATAATTTAATATTTGGTATAATATATTTTATTTTAAACATTCACAAAACAACTCATTTCAGTCAAAGTATATCACGATATAGTGGTTAAAAATGTGCACAAGCCCTGCGAAAGTTTTTCAAATAACAGTGATATAAAATCCGCCACCAAGAACGTTCTGTTACCACCAAAATATGAAGGAATTTAATATTGCTCCTAAATGTGGTAGATTCAGCAAATTTTTGCGAAAAGATTTGTGCTAGTTTAAATATTTGATATTTGCTGAATTTTTTACCTTTATACATCAAATTTTTATGAAAACAAAGAACTGTTATTAAAATTTAAACTTTTGAAAGCAATAAGTATATTTGTTTCTTCAAATTAATAAAGTTATACGCATCTTATATACTGCACAGTGTGGTGCAAATGAAAGTTCTAAATTATTATAAATTAAATTATTATAAATTAAATATTTCTGCAAGCCGTCGGTTGTATTTATAAATAGGCGTCCTCTTATATTACTTTTTTTTTTTATTTTTGACGTCACATATTGGTACATGATAAGGTCATCGATAGACTTCGGCAAATATGCAAATAAAAATGTAGAAAATATGCGCATAAATGCACGTGTTTACCCGAAAATATGCAAATATTTTACAAAATATGCATACAAATAAATAAAAAAATCGTAAAATAGTAACAATTTTATTTAAAAAAAAAGTGCACATAACTAAATATTTCCTACTATTCATTAAGATTTACATTTATTTTAAGTAACTACATCATTTTTAAGTATGAATAAACTTATTTAGAATTATGGTAACAATAAATGACCAAGTGGTGTTCAAAATTTTCTAACAAAAACTTGTGGCTTCTGTCTGAGTACATATATTTATATATGGAAAAACTTCGTTCAACATCAACTGATGTAACGGGAGCATGTTTCAAACTAACCAAAACATTTGGTTCTAAATTAATTGTTTCCGAAATATTTCCAGCTAGAACACTGACTACTTCAAAAAGAATATCGTAACCTTTATTTTTTTCCATAGTAGCTTCAAATTTTTTTAAAATATCTTTTCCAATATTACCTCTAACGTTCCGACAACATGACGCAAATTCTTTTATTAATGCTGTACTTTCGAACAATGACAGTTTTGGTGATTCTAACTGAGTAATTGTTTTTTGAACAAAACTAAAATTTGATTTTATAAATGAAAGTTCTTGTTGAAGCAAGTTACTCTGAAAAGTTTGTTTAGAATCCAAAAGAGATTGGGAACTTTCATCTGTTAACGTATCAATTATGTTCTTTATTTTAACAAAATGATCTGCATAAAAATTTGCTGCTTCTAACCATGTTCCCCATCGCGTTAAAATAGGTTGTGATGGAAGAGGAATGTTGGGTAGCATTTCTTTATAAAGTTGAATTTTTATAGGAGATTTAAGAAATACTTTTTTGACACTGGATATGGTATTTACAAGAGGAAACTTTTTTCGTATTTCATCTGCAACTCTGTTTAATCCATGCGCTA